GTGCTGTGTTCCGATCGTTGGGGAGACGGCTTCGTGTCCCAGCCGTCGGTGAAGGGCGCTCTATGCTCCCACTGTCGTGCTGCAGGGAGATTGCGCATGGCCCCGTCCCGCCCCACTGCAGCCAGTACGTGCCGACGACCGACCGGGCCCGGGAGAGGAGGTCGTGGCGCATATCAAATGACCTCACCGATTCGTGAGCGGGCACCAACCGAGCCGACTGGCCTGGCTCCCGGCCCACAGCTCGGCAAGAGCTGCGGCTGCATGTGCTGTCCGTGTCCTCCTTGAGCATAATGAGGAGAATGTCATTAAATTTGCATTATCTATTCATGTTGTTGATCACGTTTGCGGTTCTCATTAGTGCAAATTGAGGTGGATTTTGTTCCACAACTTCTTTATCATATAAATAATGAAATAATTTCTAAAGCAAGGATTTAAATTTTAATTGGTTTTCCTCTTTTCTGACGCACCTTCGGTAAACATGCTTTATCCATATTATCTTTTTTCTGCATGCTTAGGGCCTTATATACTTATTCATACATAACTGCATAATATAAGTTTGTAGGTATGTATAATGCATATATATGTTTTAAGTTTTATGGTCTGGGTTCTTTACATCTGTAAATCACGTTTACATCTGTCTGGGTTCTTACTGGTCTGTAGGTACCTTAATTTTTATGCTTATTGTTTTTTTTGCGCTATTTTTATTTCAGTGGGTCTAGCTAACTTTGTTTTCGCACACCGTAGATAACCTTGCATAATGCATCCCGAGCCTGTTAAAATGGACAGCCCGAATATTTCCAGTGCCGAATGGGTTTAATATTTTCCCGAGATTTGTCGTTGGATTTATGACGCCCATTTGCGCCACTCAGGATCAGACTCGCCGGATGTGGCTGCTGTCCTTAATGGCACCTCTCGTCTCAGCTGGTCGACCAGGTGTCGTCGGGGCCGACGGAAGACACATATACAGTCAGCCATATGGCACCATACGGCACTTGAGCTAGCTACCTATAGGCGACCCAGCCTAGAGCTGCCTAGGCGACAAGGGGTCGCCAATAGAGACCCGAGTGGTAAGCTCAGCTCTGGTAACAGTCCACTCTTCTTACGATTGTGTCTGGCTCTGGCTGACTGCGGGAAAAGTCTGAGTGCTAGGATATATACCACATATGACATAAATCCCCTTCACGTCTCTGCATATAGCTGCACATGGGTGCACTCGATCTTTGAGTGCATGGTAACCAGAAGGAAGGTACTCTTTCCTCGAAGTGTAATGCCATCAGCGCAACCGGAGTTATAGGGCAGGCATCCGTTCTGTCTCTCCCCGATACATGGAACCATGGCCCACAAAGTAAGACGAGCCTAACCATGGTTCCTTATCCTCCTCTGAAACAGCGCGGGGAAGCCCAGGGGTTCATGTGTTGTCGATTAGACGGGTCATGGCTGACATTCCTGTCTGCCGGTTGAGGGGATGCCCGAAGAATGACGAGTCAGTCAGACATCTTCTTATATTATTATATGTATTCACTATTGTCCCTCACGGAAGATCGTCTGATAGGCTCTGATAAGCTGCCAAGTGACAACGACTACCATCCTACGAATTGACTTCGTCTTTCAACGGGAATCCCGTCGACGATCTTGGTAAATAAATGAATAAATAAAATAAATAAATATGGTTTTATCTACGCGTATGGAGGGACACCCGCTGGGCATTTTCCCCGACATCCAGAGCTGCATTAGTCGCCCAAGATTCCTTTGTAGCTGCCCATCTCTCCCGATGTGCCACGGCAGTCGATGCGCCGAATACGGCTCGTCTGCGCCAGTCTTCGGCGCGGCACCATGGTGCCGTCTCTGCCGACCCATGACGGATACCGGCACTTCAGTGGCTGCGCCGGCTCATCGGGCGTTCATCCGTCTCGACGGGGTGTGCGGCCCGCTCCCGACCCCGCCCGGCGCCCCTTCCGCCCTATCACGGACGGTGATTGTCTCGGCACTGCTAGGGGTGCTCCGGGGGAATGAGTGCTCGAGGAGCGATGGGTGCTCGGGGTCCCGGATAGGAGTGCTAGGAGATAGGTCGATCAGATGCCACGCGCATTCTAGCGCGACGGCGCCCGAGAAGCAGTAATAGGAAGGAACGCTCCTTATTGGAAAGATAATCATTAATCGATCTCTTCTGTTCTTAGTAGATGGTTCTATTCATAACGCACTATGACTCTCTCGTGTGCTCCTTCTATTCGTATAGTTAAATGATTGATTCTCGCAGTTTGTGTCCCCAGAATATAATCATATTTACGTCATGTTATATTGTAAATATGTATAGGCATAACATTACCAAAGTCAATTAAATTATTCAATCATAAGCGCGAGGGCATCCAGTATCCACCATACCTATCAAGATTTGCATGCGGACTCAGACTTCAGTGTTGCGGATGAATAGCACTGAAATAAAAACCGGTGTTTCACCGGTGATAGCAGCGCGCTGCTATTCTGCTGACGTCACACTTGTGGTAGTGTTGGAGCAATGGGCTTGTTGACGTATCCATGGAAACCCAATTTGACACGTGTAATAGCACCGTGCTGCTATCACCGGTGAAACACCACCCAGGCATAGGCATAGGCCATATAAACACACACTCATTTTGTCTCCCAAATTTGCCTACATAGGCCTTCTCACATGTGTGCATTGTGCACAATTGCAGTCTAGCAGGAAACCTTATACAGTTGGCACAGTGTATGCACACCAGAGGTAATGAGACAGACGTTTGACCGACAGACAGACAAGCAGACAGACAGACAGACAGACAGACAGACAGACAGACAGACCCACGAATCGACGGACAGACCAACAGTCAGGCAGACAGACAAAACGACAAACCACTAGTCCTTTCAGACAATCACAGACCCAGAAGCCAGACCAGCCACAGACCAACACACACAGACGTGTCTGCAGATCATGCGGGTGGCTCACACGTGGCGAATCCCAGCCCAACCTCCGCCGTATCGGACTTGTCGCAGCTGCCAGTCTGACAGCTGTCTGGCAGTGACGGTACCAATGTCACCTGGTGAACATACGTCACCGCCGTCACCTGCCTCCCCTCCGTCTGCACCTCCCAGACAGCTGATACCGTCATGGTGCAGTGGTTTGCACTGTGCACTGTGCATTGTGTGGTATGCACTGTATGCACTCATGCACGGCCATAGCCGTGCGGTATGGCGGTAGGTGCATTACCACAAAATGCCACAAATTAATTAGGTTCAGTTGCTAGGGAGAAGTCCAGTGCGGGGTCAATACGGGGTCACCCTCAGAGGCTGGCTACTGTTGGCAAGTTTTTACCCATCGAGCGTTATCGCCAACAGGCCAGCCCCCTCATGGGTTCGGTGAACCCGAACATCGGGTCCATCGCAAAGGGAACAAAACACTTAGCTCTGTCTCTGTACATATTTTTGTCTATCGGTCTCTCTCTCTCTCTCTCTCTCTCTCTCTCTCTCTCTCTCTCTCTCTCTCTCTCTCTCTCTCTCTCTCTCTCTCTCTCTCTCTCTCTCTCTCTCTCTCTCTCTCTCTCTCTCTCTCTCTCTCTCTCTCTCTCTCTCTCCCTCTCCCTCTCCCTCTCTCTCTCTCTCTGTCTCTGTCTCTGTCTCTGTCTCTGTCTCTTTCTCTTTCTCTTTCTCTTTCTCTTTCTCTTTCTCTTTCTCTTTCTCTTTCTCTTTCTCTCTCTCTCTCTCTCTCTCTCTCTCTCTCTCTCTCTCTCTCTCTCTCTCTCTCTCTCTCTCTCTCTCTCTCTCTCTCTCTCTCTCTCTCTCTCTCTCTCTCTCTCTCACTTTCAGCATTACGCTTCGCTTTTTATATATTATTCAATATGTGACCAAAGTTCAAACGTCGTCCTGAGGGCCGGCTCCAACTCGAAGTGGGAGCCCCATCCGAAGTTTGTATATTGGCACTTCTCGCTTCACTCTGAGGGGCGGACCGAAAGGCAGCACGGTCTGGACCACAACAATGTCTTCAATGATTACATCTGGTCCTTCCTGGCCAACACTGAAAGAAACGGCGGGAGGAACGTATAACTATGCTATAACAGCAGTTTTCACGACGGGCTATCTGGTGAATGCAACCAACTTGACCCAAAGCGACCTGTCTTGTGCCCTATCTTCATATCATGAGTTTTTGATGTTTTAATAAAAGTAGGTAATGCCTGATAATTTTACAAATAAGGTACCTATGCAAGCAAGTAGGAACTATTAGTGCAACCGAAGCTGAAAACTACCAAGAAAAGAATCAACCATAATGAATCTAATTTCGCACCACGTGTGACCAAATCGCACCCAATGCGACCAAATGTGTACCAGATAACCGTCTTGAAAACGGCTAATGTAAAGCCATTGGGATGAACGGTATACTAGTCGCATTGGGGCCTTGTTCTCGCCATAACCGTTCGACTCTGACAATTTGTCGGGGCCCGGGGGCATCCCGGTATCATGTCGCTGAAAACGACCAGCTCCACCCAGCCCTGTATGCGATCCGACTCGACCCGACCCACGGGGATCCCCATCGTCGATCATTGGTCGCCATTGTCGTTATCAACGTTACTAATCGTCGGTGTGGTCCTCATCACTGTCGAATTTCATTTAGGTACTCAGAAACGGACCCATTCCTCAGGGAAAAAATGTAGAGGCAACAACAGACAAACAGTGAATTTAATCTGCTGATTAAAAATCGTCACTTTCCATTCTTCCGTTAAATTGCAGGTTGATCCGTGAATGTGCAACTATGTATTTTACAAAGTTCGCTTATCATTTCGTGCGAAACTTTCGATGCCAAACCATATGTGTCTCAGGCCGTCTTAATATCGAGCCGACGGTGCATCAGACCAGCGACGCGCCGTCCCCCGGTTCTCCAGTCACCTGTGGTTCCCGTTCGAGCGGTGTGCTGCGGAGCGTGCCGCCGCGCCGGCCCGTTGCACGCCACGGCACCACCTGTCGCCCGCTCTGACCCGCCCTCTTCTCCGCAGGTTCGGATGACGTCATCTGCCTGCCACCGATGACGTCACCTGCCTGCCATCAATGACGTCACCGCACGTCTAGTGTCATCGTGTCATCATGCGGCGCCTGTCAGCGCGGCGCGGCCTGCTCTACGCCGGCCTGGCAGTATGCGCCATGCTCTTCTTTATCAACTTCCTCAGCTTCCAGCAGCGCGACCAGCCACCGTGGGCCGTCAGCCTGACGGGTGCCAGCGCGGTGGCCCCGCGAAGTCGCTCCCTCAGCGGCTCCAGAAACGGCACAGGACCTCCGGTGCCAAGACCAGTAGCTTCAGCGGGGTCTGCCGCGGCGGCACCAAAGGCAGAGCCCCTTCGAGAGCCCGGCTCTAATGTCGTCTCGGCTGACGACGGGACATTGCTGGTGCCAGAGGACCGGCACTGGTTCTTCAGCGGCGGTCGCCGCAAGCCGGGTCCGGGCTCATTACCTCGCGAGCTCGCTCTCTGGCCGGAGGAGGACGGTGGTGACCGGATCGTCAACCAGCTGCTGTACCGGCCTCCACCGGCCGACTCGTCCTCCTGGCCGCCCAGGAAGCTGAAGAAGATCCTGCTGTACGACGGGTTCGGTGCGCGCCTGAAGACGGGACAGGAGGAGTTCGTGCGGAACGGATGTCCGGTGAACACGTGCGAGCTGACCACATCGCGCAGTCAGATCGACACTGCCGACGCCGTGCTGTTCAAGGACCGGTTCCACGGGCCGCACGGCCAGCGCCGGCCCGGCCAGGCCTGGATCATGTACCTCCTCGAGTGTCCCATGCACACAGTGAGCTTCAAGCATGTGCAACCACTTTTCAACTGGACGGCTACGTACCGACATGATAGCGACATCGTGGCTCCCTACGAGAAGTGGGTGTACTACGACGACAGCGTTCACTTTCGTAAACAGGAGATCAACTATGCAGCCAAGAAGACCAAGAAGGTGGCGTGGTTTGTATCTAACTGTGGCGCCATCAATAAGCGCCTTCAATACGCCAAGGAGCTGGCGAAGTACATCGAGGTAGATATCTATGGTAGCTGCGGAACCAAGAAATGTCCGCGCAGCATGGGCAAGAAGTGCTTCGAGAAGCTCAGCAATGAATATAAGTTCTACCTGGCCTTCGAGAACTCCAACTGTCGCGACTACATCACCGAGAAGTTCTTCGTCAATGGACTGCAGTAAGTAGTACACTGGTGTGTCTGTATTTATAAGAACTCCACTAACGCCTCGGCTTACATGTCCTTGTATCGCTTAGGCTGTTATGGTTTTAGTCCCGGAGCACAGATTATTTATTGGTAGAACCTTGGGTACACTGGGTTCACTAGCCAGCTTCAAAAGAAAATAAGTAATGATAATAAATACTCGTCCACCTTCAGTGGTTGGACGATTGCTTTTAAAACTTTCAGTGATTGGAAAGAGTGCCCGAAGGTTGAACGAACAGAGATTTTATCTATCCTCCGCAGTGCGGCGGAAGTATAGGTGCCGCGCCGCAGCTCTGCTTTAGTCGGCTGACTACCCCTCCATCACGCAATTCAGGCGGATTGCTTGTATGAAAATGTCGCACCGCGTCCTTCCGTGTTCGTGTGGGCCATGATCCTATCGATTAGCCGCGACACGATCATCCAGCAGCCCAGCTCTGGCAGGACTGGCATCTTTCCATGTCCGTAAAACATTCTGTAAACGACCACGGACCCTGGCGACTCTTCTACCCGGTTCATATTCATGAATAGCAGATGGTGCAGCGTCTGAAGTCTCCCAAAATAGAAGAGAGCTCAAAGTCGATGTCTCACGAAACAAGTTGGGTGGGTTGAACTGGCCGGAAACTGCTAAATAGGTGTACCAAGAAAACGGAAAAGGGACATGCATGCACCCAGCTTCCAGAAGTATTAGCCATGAAAATCCAGATCAAAGGCAATAGGCTGGAAGTTCGAGCTGCTTGTACTCATGTTCGGGTACCTACTGCACCCTTGCTGAGGCTGGGCGTGTTTGTCGAGTGCAGGTACGTCGTCCATGGGTGTGAGCGGTCCCGTATCGACCGCCGTCTCTAGGCAGCACGGTTCGACAACTGTTCCGCGGACACACAGCGGTGGAGGCCGAATTCCAGCCGTTGAGCCCCGGACGGTCGCAGGTGGCGTCCGTAGGCCGCAGTTCCATGCCCTGTCGCCCTAGCAGCTGTCCCATCAGACGTGGACAGTGGACACGTACTCAACGACCCGAATGCATGATTGAGTTATGAACCGGAGCGGGCCGGGCACCCGCCCCGGTCGGCTGAATGTCGCCCCGACTGTGGCACGTGTGGACCCCTGGGCAGCCGTGCCGGACGTCCCGGAGCTGATTGCTGCCTCTCCCGCTATGCTCAGAGGCCATTTTGATGCTGATCGATGGCCGCGGGCGGCCGGACCAAAACGCCGCCACCGGGACGCAAACGCCGGTCGATGGCCGGGAGAGCCACTCCTGGGAGTGGGTGGGGGTAGGCGGCGCCCGACCGGCGCGGCGTCCCTGGGTACCCCTGGAGCGTCGTCAGTCTTTGTAATCCCTGAGACCTTTACAAAGCCTCAGGTATCTGGGATCTCGACAGTCTCTGCGGCCCGTAATGAATATCAATGCTCCCTCGAGGTACTCGGAATGTTAGCTTTCCTTGCGGGGCATTAGGCTTTGGCAAATCCTGGAGATTTCTTCTCCCTAGTACCATGGTCGTCCAAGGAAACTATGATTTTGGCCATCCCCGACATTCTCTTGGCGGGCATTGACAACGCTAACAAGTTCCTGACAACTTTGGCCATCCCTTTCGATCTGAAACGTCATTCAGCCACGGTCGTGCCTTCTTTGGAACTTAGGACGTTCTAAACTTCTTAATTCGATTTTAAGTGATCGCTTACCTTTACCGAAATTTCTAGTTCACTATTTTTCATCTTGACCATAACACCAATCTTCCCTTTCGAATCATTTATGTGTGTAAAAAGGCGAGAAAGGTCTTCTGAAAGATTCCTTGCTTTAAATCTTCGCATTCCCCGGATTTTCAGAAAATACAATGCAGACTCCTTGGACACTGACGAACCTCGGAATTCTCTGAGGCCCTGATTATCTGCGGGGATCCCGGTGCCCATTATCTGCTCTGGAGCCGCGGGCAGCGCGGGGCTATTTGCGTCCGCAACGTCGTTAGTCGTTCCGCCTTGAGCGTATCTCATTTGGCGAACAAGGCACGCTCGCAACCAGAACATAACACCGTCAATATAAGACCGGGATAAGATAAGGGAGCCATCTTCTGAGCGTCAGGCAATACGACTAGGCCGCGACGTGTTCCGGTTATAGCCGGACTGCATTTGTCTTGGTCCAGATAGCTCAGTCTCATTGCAGTCCGCTTCTGAACTTTGTGGGGCACTTGGCCTTCTGCCGGTCGTTGGTCGGCCTGATAGTGCGCTCTATGTACTTATGCAGACCGCCGCACCATCCGTCGACTCAAGCCGACAGCATATTCGGTCCACGTTTCATCATGTAAAATGTGTGACGACTTCTGGTCTAGTTGTTAGCTCTGAACCGATATTTGACTTTCGCATTTGTCGCAGGGGCTGGAATTCGTGCTTTCATTAGAGCTGCTGAAAAAAAAATTAAATATTCAAATAACCCGAACCACAGGATTAATCAACGCATGATAGTCACACTTGCAAAATGGAAGAAGTGGTGAACAGATTAGCGATGCTCGCTTAATTGCTTAATTCGGTCGCGATAAGATACGAATTGAGTCACGCGGCTAGTCACGCGACACTTCGTGCTGCGTAACTTTATTGAAATAGCATATCAGTCTATCAGCTTGAAATAGAGGCTCATTCAAATAGCAAACAGCAAGACGCGTTACTTCTTAAGTATGTATAGTCGCTACAGAATGATGTTCCACTTTTCACTGGCAATTATTTGCCTGGAGTGATAGGTTGTGCCGCAGCACACGGGCTGAGTTCACAAATTATAGCTTTGTCCCAATGCTCACAATCGACACGCTTAATTGCGTGGTAAACGGCACAACTTAGCGCTCCGGTCAACTGATAGCTTCTGAGGAGTGGAACATCATTCTGTAGTCGACTATACATGGCGGACTGCATGAACCGGGTTCCGACTGACGCTCTGCTCTTTCGCCAGGCACAACGTGCTGCCGATCGTGATGGGCGCTCACCCCGACGACTACAAGAGGGCCGCTCCGGAGCACTCCTACATCCACGTGGACGACTTCAAGTCACCCCAGGAGCTGGCCGACTTCCTGCACGCGCTCGACCGCGACGACCACCTGTACAACTCGTACTTCCAGTGGAAGGGCACCGGGGAGTTCATCAACACCTACTTCTTCTGCCGGCTGTGCGCGATGCTGCACGACGAGGGCCACCAGAAGACCATTCCGGATCTGAACGAGTGGTGGCGCGGCGCCGGCACCTGTGTCACCGGCAAGTGGCCGCGCTACACGCCCGAGAGGACTTGAGGTAGTGACGCCCGTGACGGTGTCACGCACTCGGGACGTGACGAGCACGTGCTGGCACAAAGCGTCGCTTAGTAGGACGGATACGCGGGCCAGTTGGGGTGCTGTTCTGGCCGTTAGGGGAGGTAGTGTGAATGTGAATGTGTGCAGTGGGCACCCTACACGCGGCGTGCTGTGGTTCTATTATTCTCACCATGTGAGGGCACAAATTGGGTGATGTTATGTGCCGAATGTCTATGTGAGCGTGTGGGCCGCGACGTTGGTGCTTAGGACGGTATAACGCACAAGCACCTGAGGTGCAGTCGCCAGGTTTGCTCCAAGAGAGCGGAACGCTGCGGTGGCTGCACTGGGCCAGTGCAGGGCGCAGGGCAAGGCGGGTGATAGGTAACCGAACCAAGGTGTGAGCAGCTAGACTACGGCATCGGCGGGCAGCTTAACTATGCTGTGTGTGGACAACTAGCTAGCATGTGTGGGTAGCTAGCTAGACTTTATCTGAAACCGGACACTGGCTTCCGGCATTTACGTCCCGACAATTGCACTCCGTTTTTACTCATACCTAATCGTTTCAGGTACGATTGGGCTGGTTTCTGGGTGGCTTTTAGTCCGTTTTGTCTTGTTTGTTTCTAGGTCTTCTCAGGCTTGTTCCTGGCCAGTTGAGTGGTCGTCATATGACCCGGGGCGTTTGAGCTATTTTGGGCTGCTGTTTGAGCGTGTGATACGTGTGAGGTCATTATGTGATCTCGGGTCTCATAACGAAACATTCCTTCTGGGCGGTGCGGAGCAGCAGGCGCCGGGCCGCCGTTGTGATGATTTGGTGACGGTCAGAGTGACAGTCAGGGTCGTGACAGGACGGTTGGGACCGTGACGTGCCGGTCGTCACGGCCAGATACGACCGAAGACGGACCCACCGGCGGCGGTCCGCCACGCTACGAAACTGTCACAAACCGCGCTTTGCCAGTCCCGCGCGCACTGTTGTTGAGTAAGATAGCCTGTCAAGCGAGTTACCGGTCTGACCTGCACCTCCACCGTCCCAGCTGGTGTTACTGGCGATGGGGTGCAAGGCAAGTCTGTCCACCGGTTTCGCCACAAGCTGGAATGCAATGCTTGTTGCATTGCAATACCAAAGACTGACGATTGTTTGGCCATTTTACTGTTATTTATCCTTGTGAGCGTGTGGCCTGCATGCCAACAATATTATATTGCAATTTATTTGACTGTGACTGGCGTCTATTTATCCCAATCTTTTTAGATAAATACATGAAAAAAAATGTGATCGGGTATTTACCTACTAGTGAAGAATTTCTCGGAGCTCGGCGACTGGATCCGGTGTCCGTTGGTACCACGGCCCGGGAGGGGCGGTGTCGCAATACTCCCAACTTCAGCTATACGATCTACGTCATTCGAGCGACTTTCGAGGGTTGAGTACGACCTGCCTGCGGCCTGATGAGGTACCGACTGGACGACGGCTCCCTGGCTCTCGCTGAACAGCCAGCCGCTACGTGGAAGCTTCAACACTCACGATATGCTGGACTGGGGTAAGTCCACTAATGGCGTCATGTCTGGGTGGACTAAGACGGACTCGAACATGTTTCGAACTTTCGACTCAGCAGAGTGCAGACTCAAACGAGGCTTTATGTGTAATTTATTAGTAGGTACCATCAATATCTGGATGCGTTATAAAAGTGTATTATCGATATTATCGATCGGTGTTACTACTTACTATTTGTAACGCTATTTGTAAACTAGATTTATCAAGGTTCGACGAATTCGGTTTCTAGTTAGCCGCACTCGATGAGCCGCTTCGCCTAGCGGCAGGGTGGCGAAGCTGAGCTTGGTGCAGGGTGGTGCGAGTGTTCTGCACGACAGGGCCAGCCCACCTGCACGCTACCTTTCATGTTCTGAGAGACTAACGGGAACTAGCTCGGATCAATCGGTATAAACCTCGAAAAGAAGCTTATCGAGGTCGATGGGGCGTCAAAGAAGATGTCAAAGAGGCAAATAAGTGTGATGCTAGTGGTGGTCGGTAGGGGGCGACGGCAGAAAGACCGGACACACGATAAAGCTAGAATATAGCACCTTCTTCGTAGAACAACAGCCATATAAGGCACTAGTTGTAAGTATTTGCTTGGAAAATGCAGCTTACCAGCCCGTTGTGAGCCTTTGTCATGCGAGCTGTTAATCGGATCGGATGTTTTGTGATATTCACATGAGTAGGCATTACCAATCATAAGTGGAACAAGTAGTAGGCATTCAGAACAAGAAGGGTCTTTAGCAAGAAGCTGAAGCTCGCCTTTATATGCGCATGAGACCGTAATCCCAGACCGGATGCCCGACTTTGAGAGCCCATGGAATTTCTCATGTTTAGATTCGGTATCTTCGTCCTTTACCACAATCGGGAAGTTTGCATTGTGACAGTTTCAAAAGCTGCTTCTTATATAAAATAGCGATTAATAGAACGGTGCAATAGTGTCTCCCTCCATAGTGAAGTAATGTAGGCACATTTTTCAAGTGATAAGACACAGTTCGAACTTCGAAGATCGATCCCCGTCTTCACACTAGGTATTGAGGTAACTTTTAAATGAAAGCACAAATAATCTCCCTTGAAATCACGGACCGTTCATTTATTTGGCGATTTCATATGACATACACTCAATCACTGTCTTTTGCTAACTGATGAGCAGGCACTCCTCACTTTATCCGCCGTGGCCGGCTGCTGTCGATGTCACCGCTCACCAGTGGCGTTTGGCAGCGTTGAACTGGTTGTTGTCGGCCGTCTTTGTGTACTGAGCGATCCAGACGCCGATGAAGTCGCGCTCCACGCGGCGGGCCTCGATGACATCGGGAGGGTCGGCCGGGTCCGACGCCCGCAGGTCCAGGTGGTGAGCGCCCTGACAATGTCACGGTGGGAGTCAGATGGTTGATGGAGCATTGGTGAGCTCAAAACTAAATCTGTTTGGAAGTGTCTATTAATGGTCTCGTAGAATGTGTGACCATTTCGGACCCGTGATCGTGAAAGCGTTGGCTTGGCTAGTTTGAATACAGACCTAACACCTCATTATCTTCTTATAGAGCTCTCGGCTAACACGACCAGCACATCTAGCACGACTACCACGACTCACAATGGGATGATGACCGAGGTTAGGGTGTCAGATGGGACTACGTAAAACCACTATCACGACACAACTTGCACGACTATCACGAGTCACGACTCACGTTGGGAATGATGACCGAGACGAGTGTATCGGACAGCGAGCGCATCACTCCGCCCGAAGACCACGGGTCGAGCAGACCGTTGGCGAAGACGATGTTGCTGCTGGCGGTAAGGTTGATGCCGCCGTAGATGAGCGGGGCCATCAGCGGGCGGGACGTAGCGCCGTACTTGCGCTTGCAGTCGGCCGTGTAGTCGGTGAGGTTCCACGGGGACGGGTAGAACATGTCGTTGATGCCGTCGTTGCACATGGGCATGATCATCTCCGTGCAGGCCTGCCAGAAAATGATAAACAATTATCTATAGGGATGCACGAGGATGTAGGCCTAATATACTACTAATATACGGCTACCTAACGCGCAATTGATATTTCTATGTACAAGCAAAATTTATTTATATTTTTTCTTCTTACCACGTCCTATTTATAAGCTCAGGTTATAAACGTGCTGGCAGTGAAACAGCTGACGGGTCTGGCGCTCGTTTCGTTTTCCCCTTTTGCGACTTTGTTTCGGCTCTCGGTGACCTCACTGACCTGGAAGTACCACCCGTCGTCTCCGAGCGAGTCGGTGCCTTGGCTGGACGAGTCGATGCAGTCCACGCCGCCGGTCGAGTTGAAGTAGAGGTTGATGATGTCGTAAAGGTTGGTCAGCAGCGACTTGTCGTCATCGCCGTGGTCGTCGTGCAGGTAGGAGCAGGCCACCTGCACGCGGGAAGTCATAGAACATGAGGATGAGAAGTCAACCGCCTTTCATAGCATGATGGGTACCACGAGATCCCAGCTGTTAGTCACGCAGCTGAAAGCTCTGTGAGCGGAAAAGTGAAACGTATATAATTCAAAGCTAACAGGCTGTCAGTGAGTTGTGACTGTCGCAGGCTACCGCTGTAACGCCGCCATACGGCCTCCTTTAGCGTTGTGTGGTGTGGACATTAGATCAAGTACCGAGCTGCGGATGACGGACGCTACCAACCTTGACGGGGAATGCGGGCAGCGGCGAGAGGAAGTTGGCCGGGTACGGGTAGTCGATCATGGCGTAGTTGCTGTACATGTCGGAGAGCCACATCCGGAAGTCGGCTAGCTCCGAGCCGTTCAGCGGCTTACAGAGCCTCCAGGCCGAGCTGAGCCAGTCCAGACCCTCCTCTGTGGGCGCGAAAACCATCTTAGTGTGTGTGTAGACTGTAGTTTTTTTTTTGTAGGAAATGACGGTGTCGTCTTGTGCCGCGGCGGTGCTGAGATTTTAGAAGCAGTAACATTTTTGTTCAAGCAAATTTAGTCCGCATCAAAAATTGTCACCGTTTATTTTGCGTTAGAAATCACTGTCAAAATGGCATGTAACGTCTAGCAGATAAGGATGTAATAGGTATAGGTATCCATATTCCAGCATGACACGGAAAGAGGGCGATAGGCAATAATGCAGTAAAGGTCGGTAACTTATGTAATCTTGCGTACGACCTTTCATGAATATGACAAATGAGCCCACCGCCATCGTAAAATTGCTGGTTATTTGCCCCATAACAAAAACACCGGATACCCAAAACGTACGGGTCTCGAAGAGCCTGTCGATAGCGTCCCAGGATTTCCTGATGACACGCGGGCACTCCTCGCTGTCCTTGGCGAACGTCTGGGTGACCACCTTGCTGAAGGCCTGGCACGGAGTGATGTCCGTAAACTGCAGGATCGGAGCAGAAGACGCGATCGCCCTGCAAATAAACGACGTGTGAACGGGGACGATTTTTACTGTTCCTCACCGAGGTAATGCTATTCTGTGGTAAGGTGTAATGAGCTACGTAAGTAAAAGGCATATTTTGGTGACACGTAGATAGGTACAATGCACATAGATATGTAGGACATTGAGAAAAAGGCGGGATGGACCATAACATTTTCTCACCGCGGTTAGAAAATGATTTTTAGACAGCATCAGCGTTTTATTTGTCGAGTACCGTCAAATAAGTTGATCGGCTGCATATAAAAATTAAACTGCAAAAGCAAGAAATTAACCTGTGTCCGACCATCGAGCGCTACATGCACTCACCCTTGAACGACGTGCGGGTATTTGACGCGGAACCAAGCGGCCAGCATGCCGCCGTAGGAGCCCCCGAAGGCGATCACCGGGCTGTCCCCAGCGCCCGGCAGCGTGGCCCGCATGTACGTCAGCAGGTCGGCGTAGTCGGCCAGTGCCTGCTCCGAGGTCAGGTAGCCGGCCTTGCTAGGATCGCTCAGGGACGAGTTCGGGTACGGCAGCGACTGGCCGTAGTAGCGGTGCTCGGCGAACACGATCAGTGCAGAAAACTCCGGCGCGATGTCGAACATGAAGCCCTATGAAAAGACGAAGTATGATTAAAGTTAGTCTGTTACACTGTCAATGAATGCGATATGGGACTGCGGGTGAAAAGGATGAACTTTTAAACGTAAGTTTAAACAATAAGTTTAATTCAGTAAAAGCGAAACAGTCCTTTGATAAACTTGCAGTTAATGTTCCGTTAACGGAATTTAAAAAGATGCAGTAATACATCAATCACAATTTAAATTGATATTTAATGCTAGCATGCAGGTATTTTGGTTTTATCTTACGACTTGAGGCATAAATTCAATACTAAGTCGATGGTTACCACTGACATATCGGGACCACACCACGCACTTTCTGTGTACGCAGACTGATCCTCATCTTATCGATACCAGCGCTGAAGTGCACTTAGGTCCTTGCAGATGGACTGTCAGCCGATTCGTCCATCGGTAATTTGCTGATAGGAAAATACCTTTGGGCCATTATTCCAGACAGTGTGCACGAGAGAATCGATCGATAATACTCGCAGCTTGCATTTGCCTTTTCTTTCTCATGTGTCTAACATAAGTTAATTGCTACATAAACTTTCTGTTAAAGTAAATGCATTTGAATAAAGCATAGCTTTTCAAATGTGAAGCGGGCCCATAGCCAATCACTGTTAGCATTAATGGTAATATTAAAATAACAAACAATTCGATTATCACTATAATTCGAGCATTACTCGATCTCAAAAAGCATCATGTGGTAAAGAAAAACGTGATCTGGGTGAGATGTTCGTCATTTTGGCAGTCAAAAGAACCAAACTATTTCTTTATTGTCCATGATGTAGGAACATTACCGCCATGCGGTAGCGTCTACGCCTATTACGTTTAACGCATTAATCAACACGTAAATCCCGTCACATTATCTGTACGACTGTCGCCAGAGACGTACGGTGTTCTCCAAGAAGAGCTCGATGTCGCCCTCGTTGCCGGCGTAGAAGAAGATGGGTCCGCCATTGCCGTTCCACCATGTGTCGTTCACCAGGTACTTCATCTCAAAGACGTCATTGTTGGCGAAGCTGAAGTGGTCCACCTGCGTCACAGAAAAAGAGAACGGGAAGTTATCAAAGGAGCATGCAATGAATGAGGACACATCTTGTGTCCAAAGTGAAGTTAACTTATTGGCAAGTTATCCAAAAAATCGACCCAGCCACTCGCAATCTTAAAATGCTGCTCGTACTTGGAGACTTGCTTTCGGATTAGACTGTCTTCGTGTGGGTGAAGGATTTGTATCGCTGGTTTGGGTTTAAAAAGCAAGAAGTCTGTGACAGTTACGGTGACCTCTAATGAAACTATGCGCCATCCATAGACCATGCATTTCTTTATCCAGAGCCTTCACACCCGACACCTTTTGTTTGGTGCGAGACGGACAACGAACCCCATCGTCGAATGAGTTCGAGGGTTACCGACGGGCTTGCATTTTTGAAGCGAAGTGAATGGGAAGGGAACAGAGGTCCAACGAAATTGCTATTTTGACGATAGCTATATCGTCACTAGCTGTCTTGAGGCACTAGCTCTTTATGCTTCACTAGCTACTTTGACGCTAGCTGTTTTGTCACTAGCTGTTTCTAAGCACTAGCTATTTTGCTTCACTAGCTATTTTGACGCCAGTTCAAAAGTCACTAGCTCAAATGTCACTAGCTATTCTGACGTGCACCCCTCAATGCCCTCACCTGTCCATTTCCCTGACCTTGACCTTATGTCAACGTTCGGTTTTACCTTCTCTAAACAAAACGTAGATGGGTCATTCGACGTCGCTGAACAACGATGTTGGTATCATCGTGTTCGGTCTGTTTGGAATGTTTTTTGCGTCAACTTATATAAACTTCTCAACTAAATAGATGGTTACCACGGGCCTTGGGCTTTCGGTCTAAATGAAGTCAAATCACGTCAAGTGAGGACGTTATCCTGTCGAGTGTCGTTCGATGCGGCAAACGTTGACGAAAAACTTCGTTGACCTCAAATGACCTCAGTGACGTCATATATGACGTCATATTATATAAGATACAGGGAAATGGAGCTTGGGACCGAGCGAAACAGCAACCTATAGGCTATATCCATCCAGTTATCTGCGAGCAGTGAGAGCAGATTCCAGCCTACCTGTGTGGTGTACCAGTAGGTCTTGTAGCCGTAGCCGAGCGCCTGCGAGGCGCAGAGCGCGGTCAGCAACAGCACGCGACACCACATCCTGCCTGCTCGCGGTGACACCACTGGCGCACTGTGTCGCCTGTGTGCCCAGCGAGCCTCTGCTCGCCCCGATAAACCGGCAGTCATATGACCGCACTTTGTACCGCGAGGGGAGGTGGCGATACGGGGTTGGATGTCCTTCCCGCGGTCACATGATCGGAGAGCAAAAAGCGGACCACGGCTGATAGCACGAATACAGCGGACGGATGCCGGGAGAGGAGAAGAACGGAAAGAGGAAATGAGAACTGAGTTTTAGCGGCCCAAGACGCAAGAAAAGTGGACACAACGCGGGCAAAATGTTTCACGCACTCCAGTGGCCTGCCCTTCCGTCACGTCACTGTCAGGGATGACCAGCCAAGTTGCATTATTCAAGGCCAATCTTATTTGTTTGCGAAGTTATATACAGCGATGTTTTGCAGCGTCGGGCTCGGATGACGATGAGAGGACGAGTGCTTCTTATCGAAGAGAACGCCCTCTGAGATCGTTGAGTGATAACGTAGAAAATAGAAATGTAATATTTATGTTGCCCGTCATTATCAAGACAGTTTGGAAAGCAAATTTATGGTAAGGGCTATCAGGGGACAGGTGACGCTTGAAATCTCGTCAGTCGTCAACACCAGCATGACTGTGCTTTTCACATTTTCAGTGAGCTGAGGTCATGATGTCATCTATAATAAAAACATTTTTTAAGGAAATCGCGATGACTTTTGATCGGCACTGACATAGCGAAGACGGTCGTGCAATAGCACAGTCGCCAGCTCTTCAAGATATTCCGTAAAAAGGTTTTCCGCATTATCTTCTTGCCTTTTTTTGCCTTTGCACGGCAGCTTTTTACATACCTATTACCTACATTTCGACTTTTATCCACCAATGAAGGGCAAGGAAAATGTCACATCTTATAAGAATCGGTCGTAACCAAATAAAAGTGCCTTTGGCTTTTTCGATTGCATTACTTAAATTTTATCATTTTTACGAGCCTCGTCCTGTAAGGCATAAATATATAAACGAAATTTGAAATATATACCTATGAGTAGGAATTAGCAAAACTATGAAAAGAAATAATAAATATTTTATTATATGTTGACTTATGTTCCACCTGGCGGTGACCTCGTGACTCACCAAAGTGGGCCACCAGGCGGACTGCAACCCGGCATCGACCACCGGTCATTAATGTTCCAGCTGGCGGGGAGGGGGGGGGGGGGGCAGCGGCCCAGCTGATCGGCGCCGGCGTGTGACAGTCTGACGGAGACAGTGACAGGCGGCAGGCGGTCCAGCGCTCGCCGGCCGGCCGCTACCGTGTGCACTTGCGGCCTGCAGCTGCAGCACCACCGGAAGACACGTGACACGTGCTGGTCTGAACGACAGAGGAAATTGTCCGGTGACAGGTGAGTTGCAGATATGAGTGGATTATATCCTTCTATTTGGGTAGATGTCCGTGAAAGCTGTCTATGAAATGAGGTCCCGGTGTTAAAATGGAAGTAGGCAATCAATAAAATCCAGAGTACTATAGGTCCGTTCAATTTTAACATTGTACTTAAGTTTGTGCTAAATGCTTACCTGATGCTTTCCCAATTAGCATGGCGATTTTGACAATACCTATTACCTATTTCATTCTAAATGTCGTTTTTTTTAAAATAATAAGTAGGTATACCTATTGCAATGAGGTCGAAACTGTCAGTTTCGGTTGCCTATAAAACCTTTCTGTTTGATCCGTCTAACAAAAGCACTGAGCTACGACGATACGCAAACGAAAAAAAAAAATATTTAGGTAGGTTATACCTACTGAGAAAAAAAAACGACGATCTATATGAAATGACAATTAACCATACATTCGATGCATAAGCAAAGAAGAAACATTTTCCTTCTTCAGCATGCGTAACGATCGAGTACGTACATACGTCCGCCGACTGCCGACTATAACTGTTGGGATATCGTGCCAGGGAGGAATTATCCCACTTTCTCCACTAAGCTCCCGTCTGCCTCAGCCATCTGTCGCTTCGTCAGTGACCAACCACTGACCACTGACCAGCCAATAAATAACATGCCATTGCCTGGTGCCTGTTCTTACATATGAGCATATTTCCCACACGCATCAGGATACGATGGTGTGTGCCCCGCTGCAGAAGCACGGTTCGTTGCTCCGGTTCGGAACGCCGCTGCAATTTTTAGGAACAGAAAAACGGACTCTACATTTATAAAGTATAACGAACGAACATGGAACTTCCGTTACAATGCAATGTAACCACCATGGTGGTTTACTTGGCACTTTTATACCACCATGGTGGTTCGTACGTTACAGCTTAGGTATATAGTTTCCACTCCGACCAACAGCTGCTATCCAAAACCCGTTTTCTTTTAACCTACTAATACTTTTGCATTATGTGCGCGTATTTATTTATAAAAAATTGTAAAACAATACCTTACGGCACAATGTTCTTTTGACCGTTTCGCAGTCTAATATGGGATAAGCCCTTAAAAAATAAAAGTTGAAGCACGTTGAAGTTGTAAATACTAAATAGCGAAAAGCTGCTATAAAATTGTTCTCTATTTTTTTTTTTACACAATATACTCTGTCGGAGAGCTTACCAGAGCGGTTCGACCAGCTCGAGAATGTCGCATTTAGTGGCTGAACTAGCTTTATATCCTATATAAAACAGTTGGGCGTTGGCCGCTCCTTGAACGGACGGTGGCCGAGACGGCTAAATCATGATTGGGTAAAAAACGACAAAAAAAAAAACGAAAAACGACCCGTCCTTTCACGCTATTGCTGAAAGGACGGGCTGTGCAGTATCGTGCTATTGAGGCTAGCGTGAATTTTGAACTTTAGTCCGAGCCCCAGCTGGGCATCATAAACCAAAAGAACACGTCCTGGGGGACTAATTACCTTTAGGGATATTCAATCAACAAGTAACGATTGTGGACCAAGGCTAGCGTGTTGACGTCTCATAAAGAACGTCCTACTTTTAGTGCTTAGTGTCTGCAGTCGTACCGTTGGGGTGGACCGCCTGGACAACAGAAAGTGGGACATCGTCGCCGGACGCACCCGCCCGGTGACCTAAATCGCCTCTGGCTATTGACCCGACGTCGCAGCACGGTTTAACGCTGTGGCCTTGGCAATGGGGTACTGGTATCGAGGTCAAGCATGGTTCCGATATTCTGCAGGAGCTGAAATGTGTTTATTGGTGGCAAACCTAGTCCTACGCATGGGGGATCGGTCTGACCCCATCTCTGCCGTATGGCCCCTGATCGAGCTAAGTTTCGCGAAAAACTACGAGCATGCTCCCCGTGAAGAGAGGAAGCCGATTGTAGTTACCTACTTTATTTTGAAGTCCTAGTCTCTGAGTCTTTTCGTAACGTTGCACATGATCGTTTGCTCCGCGAGGCTGTAACTCAATAGACAATTAAGGGTAAAGGGGCGAAACGGCGAGCGGACCAGCCCCCCCCCCCCTCCGACCCCCTGATATTTAAAAGATCGACAGGTCTGTTCTGTGTTCATGACATGGGCTCGTGCGCTTCAACCCACCGACCACTTCCGCTGGTTCCATAGGCGGCGGCACGGGGGGGGGGGGCACCGGGCACCGTGCGGCGTGCCCCCTTGATTTCGCCATTTTAACATTAGCCCCCCAGTAAACATGCCGACGTCGGCCCGACGTCGGCCGACGTCGGGGTGACGTCGGCAACTCGGCATCAGCATGCCGACGTCGGCCCGACGTCGGTCCAACCTCGGCACGACGTTGGCTGGATGTCGTATATGCCCGCATGTTCCGACGTCCAGCCGAGGTCCAGCCGACGTCGGGCCGACGTCGGACCGAGATCAATTGCTGAGGTCCAGCCGACGTCGGGCCGACGTCGGGGCGATGTCGGACCGACATCGGCCGCTGTTTTGACCGTTAAAATAATATAAAATACATGTTTCATGTTTCATAAAGAGCTTATGTATTCAAAATATCCTCAGGAAACTCAAATCTTCCTCCACGCCGCAACCCCCTGATCCGGACTGGACGGGAAACTTTATCCCATTTGGGATTGCCCGTAAGCCGAGCTCGCCCGTAGCCGGGTGCGGTGAGTGCTTGGGGGCTGCTCGGCCTATCCTTTGGTCAGGCTCAGCCCCGGCAACTCACCAGGGCCGGGCCCAGTTCATATAGAAAGGCCAGTCGGCAAGTGTCACTTAGCCAAAGTGCCACTTATCAAAGGGACACTTTGGGAAACGTTGGTGCAGGTTTATCCCGCGCCCCGCTGGGGGGGGGGGGGGCAGAATCTGCCCCCCCTCCCGTTCTTCGCCAATAACTTCTAAACGCGTTACGCCAGCGACGTCAAACTTTCAGTACCTTATCATACATCAATTTGACACGTTCCCTGAAAATTTGAGCGGAATCCGTCGGAAAATTTTTGAGATATTGACGTTTTAGTGACGTCATGTTCGCCATTTTCGCCCCAAAAACGGCAAAATTTCAAACGCCGCTAACATCTTCATTTTTAAAGGAATCAAGACGTAACAAAAAAGGTTATACGTGATTCTACTTTGTCTATCAAATGGCTATCTCGGTTTTTTGAAAATTTTGGATTTTGGCCAAAATTTTCCCAAAAAACTGACTTTTTTGGGAAAATAGTTATAAAATCCAAAATTTTGAGTTTATCGAAAAAAACGGAATATATGTCAAAGAAGTGGTCTATGTGCACCTACATACCAATTTTTAGAAGAATCGATTCAAAAATGTGGGAGTTATTCAAATTTTTATGACGTCACGACACACAAAAATTTTGAAAAATGATTTTTTGGAACTTCTAGACCTCGTACGGAAACAAAAATAGCACCATTCGATTCGTCGTGAAAAACTGCATCGGATAGACACCTTTTTAGGCCTTAACAACCAACTTCAAAATTTGACCTCACTTGACCTGACCTTGACCTGACCTCGACCTGAAATTCATCCAGAGGTGGTCCATATCACTTATTGAGTGTGCCTATTGATTTCCATGAGTAAAATGACCCATAAAACATGTGTCGCACATGCCCTTTTCTATATTTTGTTTTTGGTGACCTGACCTGACCTGACCTGACCTTGACCTTGACCTTTGAATGACATTGTTTGCAACGAATGTTGTCTTGATAGTCTAAGAACACGTTTTGGGCAATTAGTCTCAGTCTATTCTTCGGCAACTACGGTGCAAGACCGATACTGTAGAAACTTGCATTTTGTACCCTTGACCTGACCTTGACCTGACCTCTGACCTACTTAAGCAAAAAAAATTGGGCTCTTAAGATCCGCCTTGTTGAGAGCTTTCGATTGCCGTTTTCCCCGTCTTTCTACGACCATCGGTTCGGAAGTTAGACAGGGGGGCAGAATCTGCCCCCCCCCCCCCCCAGCAGGGCGCGTATGGCTGAATAGCCCAGCGGGGCGTGGATTATAAGAGTGGCTATATGAACCCATTGTGGGGTCGCCCTTTCCAATAAGTGTCACGTAACAGCAATGGGACCAGGGACTCTATATGAAGTATGAACTGGACCCAGGGAGCTCGCCAAGAAGACCAATGTCTCCATCCTATGATCTTTCCGGCTCTGAAATGG